ACAAAGAAATCAGAAACCCCGTGGGCAGTCTTTCTTGCTCACTGATGTATTCTGAACCACAAAAGGGAACCAATAAATGTTTATGGAAAGGATGAGAAGAGTAGGAATTGTCTTAAAGTGGAATATGCGACCTGGATTAATGGTTCCTGGATTAAGTTTAATATAAAATCCTTAAAGTTTAAGAGATCACGTCTCGGTAATATGTGCATCAGCCCAAATTTAGACCTGTTTTTTCCATTGAATGCAAATCTTAGATTGTCTGCCCGTGTTTTGTTAGTTCTACAAAGAAATATTCTCCAGAAATCCAAAGTAAAGTAGTTCTAATTTGTGAAGGGCCCAAGAGGAACAGTCCAATCTGGGCCCAGCAGGGGATCCCTATGAACATGTTGAAGAGAGGTGACAGGAGAAAAGAGAAGAAGAAATGATGAGAGAGAGAGAGAGGTGATATGAGGATGTGGGGGCAGGTCACTCATGTTTCTCGTGTGCTTTAACTTATTTAACCCCTCGGTAATACCACTGAAGGAGTTAGGACCATTTCAGTCTCAGAGTGATAAACCTGTGTGAGGACGAGTGATCAAGTGTTATGGTGGAGAGTCTCAACAAGGGGTGCTGTGGCAGTGCCATCAAACTCACAGGACGCAAGGTGGACATTAATTAAGAATCTACAATGTGTCAGGTGCTGTTGAGCACAAATAGAAAGGATCTTGTTTGCCACCTCTGCTGCCATGTTTTGCTGGCCACCAGCTGAGGTCAAGATAGACCCAGTTTTGTGGGGCTTGAAGTTTCAATTGTCTTTTTTTTTTTTTAAGGAAGGATTCTTTAACAAAAAGAATATGAATTTAAAAAAAAATAAGAGGTGAAAGACAGAGCCTTAAGGGGTGCTGAAACTTAGGCTTTATATTAAATCTGACTCTGACTATAGTGTTAGTTCATCAATCAAGTTAACATAAAAAAGTGTCATTTTGGAAATCAGGGGACCATAAGGGACAAGATGGAATCAAAGTGGAAAAGTCAAACACCCAGCTCAAACTAGCCCACAAAGTTCTGTTTTAATAATGAATGAAAAGATGATTTCAAAAGAGTTTGTTTTTATTCCCTTATTTATAAAAATTCCCTTTTTGTTAGAGTAGTTCAAGAAGAAAAGTTTCTTTTTTTCTTTTTTTTTTTGAGTGCAATAAACAAATAACCTTGTGTCTAAATTCAAGCTTTCTCTGTTGTGGAGGACTCTTTTCTAGCTTGACAACCAGAGTGTTATTGTTGCTAGAGTGATAAGCTCTGTGTTTCTGGATTTAGAGCGAAAATTCCCTCTATTTTATAATCTGGTAATATGAGGCTTTGCCTGTATCTGGTGGAGAGGAGTAACTGACGTTCTGAAGAATTCTCTCCCTGCACTCCAGGGTCTCCTGAATTTTATTGTGTATCAGAGCCACTTGGGGACCTTGTGACAACCCTTTTTCCTGAGTGTCACTCACTGAATTCCAATACAAAAGGATTGCTGTGCAGATCAAGAGAGTCGGATGCTGTGGATTCCCAGACTACTCCTAGCCCCCAATCATACCAATAACAACCCTATTACAGGGAAGAGTGATTATAAACATTCTTGGCAAAAAGGCAAACTGAGGCACAGGCAAGTCAAGCAACTTGCCTTAGATCACCTAACAAGTTTACGTCTGCATAGAGCAGTCCAGCTCTAAGAAGGCCCACCTCTATTGTAGAAAAAGAAAGAACAGTCCAGCAAACAGTATAGATTTAGTAGGGAAGGGGGCGGTCATGGTGGGACAGTAGTGAACGCCACGGAGTCTTTTTAATAGGACTGTGTGTGTGTGTGTGTGTGTGTGAGAGAGAGAGAGAGAGAGAGAGAGAGAGAGAGACTGTGGGCGTAAGCGAATAGAAGCTCTGGCACAAACTAGGAGCAGAATCTGATGTCTGACGGGGTAAGGAGGGATTTGCATAGTCCCCCGCAGATCGCAGGCCCTCAATCAATGTTTGTTGAAGGAATTTGCAAAGGGGGCCGAGTCCTAATGTTGTCCCGATTTGATAACTACCATTTTCCTGGTTGCCATGATCCTGCCTTGGGATGCAGGCCAGGGATCCAAACAGAAGAAGCAGAGGGCCTGGTGCTGCTGAAGACTGTCAGAGACAGGCCCAGTGGTAAAACCAGCCCCAGGTGGTGCAGGCAACTCACCTTCTTAGACACACCTCCCCCATCAGCTGGGGGCGGGGGCCTAGAGGAGAGGGGAGGGAAGGAGTGATTTCATCTGTTTAATGAAAAATGACCTGAAGGTTTCTCTGAACCTGGAAACTCCCCATCAAACTGGGGCCAAGGAAAACAGGATTAGGTTCTATTTCTTCTAGGATGGCTTTGCATCTGCTCAGAATGAGTTAAACTGAAGGGAACAGAAAAATAAGGTCATCTCCTCCCATTGTCTCTGCAGAGAAATCCGGAAAGACCTGAATCATTTGATGGGTTAACACGACAGGCTTCCCTCTGGTCCCCTGCAGACCCACTTTTATTCCAGCTCCCTTTGCTGTGGAAAAGTGGGCACCCCACTTCTGTGATGTGTGTTCATAGTAACAAGATAAAGTTTGCCATATGGTGTTCAGACGAGGGAAGTCACCCCCTCTGGCATTCTGTCTCTGGACAAGCTGCTGATTTCTGGTCTAATATTCGGATTCCCTCTGACCTCCACCAGGGAACAGCTTTCCCCGTAAAGCACAAGGTTAAAACCACAAGCATTTTGCCAGAGTGGGCGACTCCTGACATGTCTCTCTGTGTCACCCATTAGGGTGGCACTTTCTGGGTTGTGTGTCCTTAGAGTCTGGGGGGTGCATAGTCTCTTCCTCAGTGACTGTCAGGATCGTGGAAGCTCGTGAAAGCAAACACCAGTGATCGGCATTTTATAATCTTATTAGTGCTTCAATTCCTCCAATCACCCTTTTAACTATAGAAGCAGATAAATAAATCCATAGGTCCATTTTCTTTTTAATGCAATGTATATTTATTGTAAACAATAATATACAAAAAAAAGGAAGGAAAGATAAGTTTCACAGAGAGAACAAAAGGTTTGGAGGGAAACAACAAGCGGAACAAACAAAACACAAACACAAACCAAACCTTACCTAAAGAGAAAATATGATTTTAAATGTCGGGTTTCTTAAGTTACAGAAATATTTTTTTTTAAAAAAAGATCTGCTTTTATACAGAAATTGAAAGATGCCATATTATAAGAGTGCTTTAAGATTTTATTCTACTGACTCTGACTTCTAAAACTGTTAATATATCTTTTTCTTAAATAAAAAAAAAAGTCTGCTGTCTTTTTTAAAAAGCAATCCTCAAACTCTCCAGCCACAGCAGTAATCAAAGATTAAGGTCTGTCAGTGGGCTGATTCCTTTTCTGCATCTTCTGTCTCTGCAAGAGAAGTGCAGGGGAACACGATGACACTTGCTTGCATTATTTTGTGTACACACACACACACACACACACACACACACACACACAATTTAGGCAGCCCAAAGATCTGTGGCAGAAAACACTGCAAATGACTCAGTGATACACTACATTTGCAACCTCTCATTTGTACAAAAGAGAAACAAGTTTCCAGTTTGTTTTCAACAAAAACAACAAAGAGAGAGAGAGAGAGAGAAAAAAAAAAAAAAAAAACCAGGACGGACAAAAAGGCATTTGTACAAATCTAGGATGAGAAATCCAAAGAAACTTGCTTTTAATAATAAAAAAAAAAGATTAAAGAGATAAATAAAAAAAAAACTGGTTACAGTTAAGAACATAATTTAACAACAGATGACCATACCCTTTGAGGAAGGCTCCAACAACCTATTTTAAAAGACAGTAAATAAAAATTAAAAAAAAAAAGGAGGACGATTTTCTTTTCTTAATTAAAACCTCTCCTTACAAAATAAATAATTTTAGCACGTGGAATGTCTTGAAGGTTAACTGCTGGTGTTCAGAGAGGCACAGGTGATGTCTGAGCAAACAGACTCCAGCATCTGCGGTCCACATGGGCCAGGCAGGCAACCAGGGGGGCAGTGCACTGGGGCACTTCTTAGCTGCTGTTACATTCCCCAAACAGACCCCTTCTCCTTTGCTCACCTTTCACTTCTGTCTTAAGACTGCAGGGAACAAGCAAAGGCAGGAGGACACCTGCTAAATAGAGCGCAAGTATTGCCAGCAGCATGATTTTAAGGCTCAAGGTGTTTCCCTCTTGTTTAAAATATATATATAGGATAAAGCTTACCAAATGCTTCCTAGACTATTTATTTACTCTATTTGCAAAATAAGGCTTTCATTATTTCTTTAAGGCAGCTCCTCCTTGAATTGGAAAGCCTGAGGAATTAAGCAAAGCTTACCCCCAAAACTGATCACATAACACAATTCTGCTTATCTTTTTTATGTTAATATTATGACACACTTTTTAAAACTTTTTTTTTCTATCTTTTTTTCTTTTTTTTTGTAGGAGAATGCAAATCTGTACAAAAATACTCTGGTTGCAAGAAAAGCTAGGGCACACTGTTCAACTAAGAGTAGTTTAGCTGTTGGAAAAATAAGAGCATTTAATTTTTTTATCTAAAAATATGTATAAATCCCCTCAAAATGGTAATGAATCATACACAGTACATACTAAAAATATTTAAAATAGAGAATATTCCTCACAGAGGACTTTTTTTCTTTAATTACTGCTAAAAAATAATTACAAAGTCCAAACTGGCAGGGAGAATTGAGCAAACTGGTCGCAGGACTCTCCGTCATTCTCCACACTTGCTCGGAAGTTTAAGTCCGGTTTCTCTTCAATGCTGCTCGTCCACCTAGGCAAGAGTGGCCTGGCCACTGATTCACAACAAGTTGGTACTGCGTTTGGATAGGTAACATTTCTGTCTTGGAATGTGAGTACGAGTTGCCTTTAGCTTAAGTGTCTTTAAGAGAACAGGAAAAAAAATGTCCAAAGGAAATTCTGCTTGGTTATTTCTTTCTTGGGTTATTTGTATGATCATCTCGGCCATCATCGCCCTTTGTTTAAGGTCTCCTTATGGTCTGGTGAGCTGTGTGTAGACGGGTTGTTCCCAGTGCTGAGGGCTGTGGGTCTGCGGGATGGACGGGACCCCCGAGGTGTCGGCAATGGGTGTGTACATGGGGCGCTGGGCGGGGTTCATGTAGGTGAAGGTGGAGTAGAGACCAGAGCCCTGGCCCGCTGCGTGGCTGTAGTAGGAGCCCGAGTTCTGGTGGTCGGTGTAGTCGTACTGCGAGCGGGTGATGGGCGGGTAGGAGGGGCTGTAGTGAGGGAGGTTGAAAGGGCTGTAAGCGATCTGCTGCGGCGAGTGCTGCTGCTGCTCGCTGTAGTGGCTGGGGCTCAGCTGCTCCGTCTTGATGTGGGTTCTCTGGGACTGCCCCGGCTCGCTGCTCAGCGTGGTCAGCGTATGCGCCTGCTGCTGCTGTGGGGGCGCTGCCTGCTGCTGTGGGGGCGCCGCCTGCTGCTGCGGGGGTGCCTGGGGGGCTTGAGGGGCCTGCGGGGGCTGCTGCGGGGGCGGCGGTGGTGCCTGCTGCTTGGACATCCACCCGTGGCCGGCGCCGGCGGATGTCGCTGCGGTGCTGCTGATACCATAGCTGCCGGTGTAGGTGACCTGGCCATGCGTGGCCGGCACCCCCGGGTGGCCATTGGGCGGCAGGTACTGGTCAAATTCATTGACATCGAAGGTCTCAATGTTGGAGATGACATCGCTACTCAGCTCGCCGATGTCCACATCACGGAAGTCGATGGGGGGCTGTCTGCCTCCCTCTGGCAGGGGGCGCCCCTCTCGCTTCAGGTCAGCCTTGCCCGGCTGCACGTCGGTTTTGGGGGTGGTGGGTGGAGTCGGTGGGCCCTGCGATTGACCTGCAGGAAATAAAAGAAAAAGAAGGGGAAAGTCAACGAGGGCTGTGCAGCGGCCTTAGTCTTAGGAACCTTCCTGGGACCCTCCCTTGTTGCTAAGGTGTAATAAGGACCCGCGCAGGAGCGGGGAGGGCGCTGCACCAAAGATAAGTCACCAAATGATTAACCTGCAGGTACACACTTAGCAGCCTCCTTTTATCAGGGGAAGGTCTGAGGCCCCAAGGGTAAGGAAGACCAAATTGCTACTTGTAGAAGAGCGGCTGTGTGTGCTTTTGGGGTGGGGAGCAAAGACACGAAGAGGGTAAGTTCGTAAAGTTGTAAAGGCATTTTACTTAGCAATAAAAAAATTACTCTTGGGATGCTGGGACTAAGTTGGTGCGCACGTGTGTATGTGTGCATGTGTGTGCTGGGACCCTGGGCAGCATGGGGAGCGGGATTAGGTGCAAAGGTTAGGGCTTCCCGTCCGGGGAGCACAAATTCCCCCAATAGAACCTCCTAGGAGGGTGGGGGGTGCGGCTGGGTATGTGCCCAGTGGGGGGGGGGGGGGGCTGCGGGTGGCTTGGCCTGGAGTCGGGGTGGGACTCACCCGAGTGCTCACCAGGGGAATGCACTTCGCTCATGCCCGAGGAGGAGTGCGGTGAGTCGGCCTGCAGCGCCTTGAAGATGGCGTTGGGAGAAATGTGCGTCTGCTCCGTGGCCTCCTCGGCCTCGGCCTGCCCATTTTTCACCGACTTCCTCCGCCGTGGCTGGTACTTGTAGTCCGGGTGGTCCTTCTTGTGCTGCACGCGTAGCCGCTCTGCTTCCTCCACGAAGGGCCGCTTCTCGCTCTCGTTGAGCAGTCTGGAGGGGGCGGGGGGGGACGCAGAAAAAAAGAGGGGGAAGTCAGTGAACTCGGCGAGGTGTCAGGCCCCCACCACCCCGCCACCTTCTTACACATCCTCCTTCTCCCTGTCTTCCAGTCAGTGTTATAGCTCGTAACTTTTTTTTTAAGTAAAAGAAAAGCAAAGAAAATTTTGAGTTCTTGTAGTCCGACCTGAGAGGTCACTCCTCGCCCCACCCCCCTCTCCTTCTGTTTTGGAAACCTCGGAGAGGAAAGCAGCTCCCCACTGCTGTCGCTCTGAACATCTTTGCTACCGGAGTTATGTGCGCCCCCCCCCCCCCAAAAAAAAAGAACTTTCCGGAAAATTACTTAAACTGGAGAAGTTTTCCCCAACTCCCCAACCCCATTCCCAGCAACCTCCCTCCTTCCCCCATTCCTGCCAGGGGTCTCTTCCAGCCTCAGCCCCCACCCCCCCATCTCATTGAGTGTCGGCTGCACGAAAGGGTGCAGTTCCTGGGAGGGTGACGCAACTCCCCACCACCATTTAACGCCAAGGCGACTAGCTGGCATTGCCCTCCTCCTGTCTTCTAAAAGCCGGCCCTCAGCTGTCTCCCCTCAAATCTCAAGAACTTGGTCCAATTTAGAGCCAAAGTAACCACCCCCCTTCCTCTGCGCGCGCTGGCTCCGGGAACGGCAACTCCCTGCCGTGGGGGGCGGGGCAAGGACCTTCAGCCCAGGCCAGCACCCCCAGCTGCAGCAGAGCCCACCCCACTGCACCGCCCCCCGCCGGGCCCTACCTCCAGAGCTTGCCCAGCGTCTTGCTGAGCTCCGCGTTGTGCAGGTGCGGGTACTGGTCGGCCAGCTTCCTGCGCGCCGCCTGCGCCCACACCATAAAGGCGTTCATGGGCCGCTTGACGTGCGGTTTGTTCTTGCTGGAGCCGTTGACGCGTACCGGCATGGGCACCAGGGTCCAGTCGTAGCCCTTGAGCACCTGGCTGACCGCCTCGCGGATGCACACAGGGAACTTGTCCTCTTCGCTTTCCTTCTTCAGGTCCGGCTCGCCCTTGGGGAATGTGTTTTCCTGGGGCCGCGTGTTCTCGGTGTCGGAGCCGGAGCCTGATGGGCAGGGCGAGCCAGCCGAGTCCTCGGACATGGTGGGGCTGGGAGCGCCGGACAGGCCCTTCTCCTGCTCGTCGGTCATCTTCATGAAGGGGTCCAGGAGATTCATACGCAGGCCCGGGGCAGGGGGCGGGAGGCCGGGAAAGGCGAGAAGCCGCGGCGGCTCGGGGACTCGAGGCGCGGGCTCCTCTCCCCTCGGCTGCCCGGACGCGGACGCGGAGCGAGCGGCTCCCAAGAAGCTTGGCGCGTCACCTGGCTGCAGCAGCGAGCACTTAGCTAGGCGCTGGGTGGCGGGTCCGCAGCTGCCCGCTCCAAATGGGGAAGACGAATTGAAGAAGAAGAGGAGAAGGGGAAGAAAGCAAAAGTGGGGCACTTGCACCCCTTCGCTTCTCCTCCTGCAAAGGAAAGTTCCCGGGGTGAAACTGGTGAGTCGCCGCGCCACTGAAGTTTGCAGTCAGTTCCGAGCTCGGCTCTCGGCTCTCCAACTCACAGCCCCGGGTCTCTTTAATAAATACTGCCCCTCACCTTAGAGACGTTCAGCCAATCACAGCACGGCAGTCCCCGGGCTGGCAAACAGCTGATTGGATCCGATTTTGGAAGGGGAGGAGGATTGTGGCTGTGGGCTGGGTGACGAGACCAGAGGGAGGAGAGGGGAGGGGAGCGCAGCCCAAGGGTGGAGGGCCGGGTGGGGGGAGGGGGCGCTGTGGGGAAGGCGGGGGACCCGGGACGTCCAAGTGTGTAAGTTTGCCTTACTCTCTGAATGTCAGAATTTGGTACCGTCTCTGCGTTCCCCCCCGTGTGTGTGTGTGTGTGTGTGTGTGTGTGTGTGTGTGTGTCTAGGATCTACTTCCACCGCGACATTTCTTTTCGCTGCTCTCTCCGCAGTATCGGGGACTCAGCTAGAGTTTGCAGTATTCGAAAAGCCGCCGCTCGTGTATCCCTGTTTAAGTGCCCGGAGCCTGCCCGCTTCCAAAAGTGCTTAGAAATGGTCTTTTGGAGCAAATGTTTTGGTGACTCAACGCCCGCTGTTTCTCTGTAATAATCCATATAAATAGATTAACATGCTCGGGTTCGCCGGGGCTGGTGCGGCTGGTCGGGATTCTGCTGCGCTATTGCAAAGGGAATCAATGAAAACCAAAGCTAAGTCCGGGAGAAGGCTTGCGGCGGTGGCGGCGGCAACGCGGCAGCCCCGTGCTCCCGGGGGCTTGCAGTGCACCTCCCCGACCGACCTTGAACTCTGACGAGTCTTTCCTCCGGCCCCCAAACCCCCACCCCGTCGGCACCCCTCTGTGACTGGGTTTCTGCTTTGACGTTCGGCTCTTTGCCTCCTGAGTCCAAAACGTCAGCAGAATTGACACTGGAAAAGAAGTTTGCACACTGCTCTGGCTTTGCGATCGAACTTTGCGAATGCGGCTGTCCCGGGCCGCGAGGCTGAGGCCGGTCCCTGGGTTTGTAAAACTCGGAACAAATTGGCACCACAGCCGAAAGAACAGTCCACTTTGGTGGAGCCCTGCTGCTCGCCCGCTTTCGCTCTCCTTTCAGGACACCTGGAGGGGCGAAGAGCCAGTCATTCCGATTTTAGTTGTGCCCTTTCATACGTGTACACAGGTGGGAGTTCTGAGGGAGGCCGTGGAGGTGACTCTGATGTATTTCAAATATTATTTGAGCACAATCTTTCTGTTTACTCGAACTCTTGAGAGCCAGGTTAGTAAATGCGGAATTATCTGTTCTGGAACAGAAGAAAAATCTTAGTCGCCTGTGGATCACATGCCTTAAAAAAAATCACAAATAAATGCACAACTATAGAAAAATCATAATTTACCCCCCTTCTTGCTTTTGCAGGAATTCGCCTTGAATTAGATTACTGATATTGTGAATCAGCTCACCTAATATCAAAGACAGCTCCCCCTCTTTTGCCAAGTGCAGACACTCTTACAATATTAAACGAATGAAGTGTTTTTGAAAATTTCATTTCTCCTAAAGTGGATATTTCTCATAGGTAAAGGAACTTTTGATAAGATAGGAAGGTCTACCCTGCTCAACAGGATTTTCTTTTTAAACGAATTTAACTCCCTGGCATTGGATGTTGAACAATCTTTAGTACCTTATAGTTTGTTTAGGAGCTTAGGAGATTTGCAAACAATAGCCTCGTATTCCTGGCTCTCTCATTACACTCGGAAAACGTAAGAGCGACAAGGTCATTTCTTGGGAAAGAAAAAAAGTCCTGCATAGTGTGGACACATTTCTGAGTCCCGGGAATGGGGCATTTGTGGTGTATAATTGTGATTTGCAGACACCTGATCCAGCAGGAGACTCAGAAACCATCGGGCACATGTGTTAACCAAGGCGTCTGGACTTAGCTGTATTTTACTGAAATTACCACGTTTACTGGCATAATGGCAGTGAAAACGACTGTGACTTTAAGATATTTTGGAATATTTATAATATTTGTGAATATATCTGCTCATGCATAAATATATCTTTAATACAATTATGCAGTAAGAGATATACAGCAACACTTTGAATCACAAACGGTGGTGCTTTATACATTTTATGCCCTTTTGGTGCAAGTATTTTTTTTTTTTTTGGTATTCTTTTATCTTTTTGTAAACTACACAACAGTCGACTTAAAATGGGCTGCAATTTCCAGCTGTGTCCAGAGGGGGCGCCAAAAGCTCAGAAACTGTCTCAAACTCGGAGAAACTGCGGGAAAACTTTGATGGTTGGTGGCAGGGCGCGGGGGAAGGTGGTGATGATGGTGGTGGTAGTGTGTTTCACTCAATCAGGACAGCTTTGGGGCTGAAATTTCTCTCTGCAGGAATTCCTATGCGATATTCCCACTCGTGCGGATCCATCTCAGAACAGCATAGTTAGGAAAGCTTGGGTGATGTGTATCTACAAGGGAACTGGGCAGCAAAAAGAGCGCTCAGATGCCTGACATTTCCATTCTGTCCAGAACTAGGAGACCGAGAGACTTAGAAGGTCCCCTGTCCCCCAGGTGGAAAGAGTTGCCTGGCGTGCCAAGATCGGGCCAAATCTGGCGCGTGGGCACCTTCAGTTCAAGAATGGTTGGTCCTGTATTTCTTCAGGGGCCTCCGGCGCTCACTCCCCCACTTCCACTTGACTTTCCTGGGTTGCGCTGACCCATCCTCCCCGTCCCAGGAAGACTCTCGCAGTCCCGGGCCAGAGGACCTCAGCCAAAGCTAGAGGGAAAGGGACCCGCTCCCGATGTTCAGGTTACAGAGGGGAAACTGAGGCTCTTGGCTCATTTTTAGCCAGAACCTTTCGCCCAGAGCTAAACGTGCCGTGGTCCTCAATCTCAAAGGAGTAAGAGGAAAAAGGGCGAAGGTCAAGACACGCGTCAGGCGACCGACGGCCCTTCACAACTTTCGCGAAGTGCTTTTGGTACCGGCTCTTGAGCAAGCGCCGCGAGGTCTGCCGCCAGGAGTCGAGACACCGAGGTGCGAGCGAATCCCAAGGGGGGACCTTGAAAACCCGAGGTCTGGGATCCCCCCTTTTCCCTCTTGGAGCGTCCGGGCCGGCGCCGGGCTCAATTTCCCCAGCGGGGGCCGCCAGTCTCCCCTCCTAGAACACTCACGAACGGAGCCCAGAGCCCAGAGTTGGCGCGAGGCGAGTTTCGCGGGCTCCGGGGCTGCGCTGGGGGGTGGGGGTGGGGTCCATCTCCGGGTGTGGGTGAGGGCGGACGCGTTCCTTTTCCCTGGCGAATTAAGAGGCACAGCCTTCCCACCCCGAATTCTTTAGCAAAAGTGGGAAAGTTGTCTAACTCCATTTTCAGCAGGGACGCATATCCTCCAAGAGTTGGGCGCGGGTGAACCTCAGCGTCCCGCGAAGATATCAGCCCAGGGCAGTGTAATCTATAGAGGTGATCAGGGGAGGGGATACCCCTTCTCTCTTCCAGTTTCCCAGCCCAGTCTCCTTGAGGTAATCCCACAAGACCTCATTCCCTGGCCAGACGCTCAGGTTTCCGCGCCCTGGGCTCCCTGCCGCTCCTTGTTCCTCGGTAATCAGTATTTTTCGCTGGATATGGAGAATGTTGGTCCTTTGCTTTTCACGCGGGACCTGAGTTTCCTTTGGAAGGGAGCGGCAGGTAAGCCGAGAGCAGGCGTTGGGCTGGATAGCAACAGCAAAGAGGAAAAGGAAACTACCAGATTGCTTTGTAGGTGCACAATAAATATCTGAATAAAGGTGACCTTTGGCCATTTTGCCCGTGTGTGCTCGTTCATCCCAGCCTCCATACCTGTTATCAACACGTTCCCTGTAACCTCTGCATGTATATTCCTGTAAATTTATTTATCCCCAAATAGGCGCCCTTTTCTGGGAGGTTGTCTAAATGGATTACTCAGAACTAGATAATCCCGACCACCATTCCCCCAAAACTGCAGACGAGGCGGCGCATTTCACTCTTTTTCTCTTTTCTCTTTTCCAAAGAAAGAAAGAAGAACTGGATGGGAGGTGTTGCAGGAGGGAGTGTGAACTGCCAATCTGCCTCTATTTGATTGATCTAGGTCCTAGGGAATGGATGGCTGAAACCCTGGCGGGCCCTGGGGATAAGGACCAGAGGAGCTGGCTGGTGGGGGAGCCGCGGAGCCTCGGAGGGAAAAAGGAGGAGTGGGGGTGGGAAGCCTCATTTCCAACGGGACTGGCCTCCCAAAGGGAATGTGCCCTTTTTACACCTTTGGTTTTGCGGGGAAAAAAAAATCTGTCCTTTAGTGGTGGTACCAGGGAGCCGCGCATCAACGGCTTCCCTAGAACGCCCTGCGGCGAATTTCCTAGGCCAAGTCCTCCCCATTGCCCACCCCAACTTTCCTCTTTTTAGCTGAAGGTGTTCTTGCCTTGCCGATTTAAAATTAAAAATAAAACAAGCTCTCGGTGCAGCGGCGCCTCCGGAGCTGCCAAATCGGCCCGCCCTGACAGGGGCCTCACTTTAGCCCCTTGGGCTTTCCCCGCAGATCGCAGATTGGAGCCCACACCTCCTGTCCCCTCCCGTCATCACCTTTCAGTGTAGGGGCATTCAGACCCAGGAAGGGCACCGATTAAAGAGAGTTGAGGTTCTCAGTACAGTGTTGTAGGTTTTTTTCTTTCTTTCTTAAAGGAGGGTGGGCTACAGCAAAGATTTTATTCCAACCTGGGGGGACTCTAAGCAACTCTTCCCTTTAAGACGCCCTATTTTAGGGCGGGCGATTATTTTGGATCTTCATTTATCGCGGACAATGTGGCTATCAACCCACGGAAAAGGAGGACGTGGTTTTGGGATAACAATGTCCTTGTAACACAATTAAGACGAGTTATCTTGTTATCTCTCCTGCAGTCCTTTTCTGTCTCCAGGCGACCCCGGAAGCCCGCCAGCAGATTGCTTCTCCCTATAGCCTCCAACCCACGGTTTCCCCCAGACAGTTAAGCTTCTTTTGGCTGCGTGCTGGGCTCCGCTTTGGTTTCTGAGCTGCAAGAGGGAGACGCCC